ATCCTCGGCGGAGGTTAAATACGCCTTTGGAAAGATTTTATACGGTCAACACAATTTCCATGATTTAGTCTTTGGCCGGGGATTTATGTTCTTCAATTTTCTTTAAGAAGGCAAGATTTTAAGCCACTCCATAGAAAAAATAGACAGTAATTCACAATATAAACAACATCACAAGGAGCCATGGGGGAAACTTAAAATTAATCGCGACCAGGTCTTAAAATTTATTTTTCACTGACCTAAAACCGCTAATAACCCAAGAATACACAAATTCATTAATTATTCCTCAAAAAATAGTTCTTGACAAAAATAAATTAATAATTGTTTTTGTTTATTTTTGTCAAAAACTTATTGTCAGCATGACAATTTAATTTCTATAACAACAATGTTGGTTTTGTAAAATATTTGTTGTTGTATCTGATGCATACACCTTATTAAATACACCTTGTACATACATATGTATGTATTTCAAATATATCCTCACCATTTGAAAGTATTTCCTCATCGGATGATGAGTATTTGTATCCATGTTACTCAACCATATTTTCAAGCCGCTACGTTGAGATATACCCATAGAAAATGTTCTACATATGTACATTCTTTCAGATGTATGAATACTTCTGATGCTATTACTCCTCAGTTTTTTTCCAACCTATGTTACTTCCATGCGATCGTTTGACTTACTATGAACATTTTAATAAATTCTGCGAACAACATTTTTCTATTTTCTACGTATAAATTTAAATGCAATGAGTTGTGCATTTTCTCTTGTCAGCGGTCTGTCGTCTGGATGATGCGTATTTACACTCACGGTACTCAGGAATAGTTTGAAGTCGGTGTCTGTAACCGTACATCCTCCATTCACTCACCCATCCCTCCATCCATCCTTTTGTTACCAGCGGCAAAATGTCGCCGCAATGGTATAACAAAAAAAAAAACAACAACAGCGGCTACAATTAATGCGGATGTGTTAATATGTGGCTGACTGGTTCGTTGTTTCCTTCGTGAGCGAATGTCAGCCAGGCAGGCAAACCGTCGAAATGAGCTTTCGTTTTCATTCTTTGTTTAACATATTAAAACTTCATTAAGGATAGAAATGTCATTACAGAGGCTATAGTCGGGAGGCTATGTTCCCTATGCCAGTGCCTGGGTATGCGTACATATGTGTGTGTGTGTGTTGCATTCGTTGTTTACTGAAATCTATTATCATATCCTTCAACTCCAGAGAATTTCAAAATTATTAGAAGACAAAGTGAAGAACCAAATTACATCCGATTCAAAATTTGCTTCTATACAAAAAACCTTTCATACCCAAATGTCTCTTGTAACAAAGCGAAGTACTTAGCTGACCAACGACATAATTTTTTTTTAAGAAATTCAGGCTTGCAAAAGGACATCGAAAAATATCCAGGCTTATTGAAGGTCCTTATAAATAATCCTTCCAAAAATATTCTTATAAAATCTACTTCTGTGGAAGGTCCTTAAAAATATCTTTAAAAATCCGTTCTTACAAAACTTCCTTACAAATATTCATTAAAAATCGATGCATATGGAAGGTCCTTAGGTCTCAAAAAATATTCTTTTTGGAAGGTCCTTGACATATATTTTTAAAAACTCCACACTTAAAAATATTCATAATTTTTGAGGTATGATTACGTTCGATGCTATAACACCGCATCCTCGGGAAATCGGTTGAATGCCGAAACATGCCCGAATACCTTTATCAAACACTATATATGGGAATCCAGCATAGTCAACCGATTCTCAAGTTTGTTATCAAAATACATTATTGTCCTCACTGACAATACAACGTAAGTAATTTGTTTGACCAAAAGTAAAATCAAAACAAGGCATTATACGGCATTTACATTAGAACTTTTTACCGGGTTAACCTACTTTATGAGGATTTATTTGGCATATATTCAAAGGAATTGAAAATTTAAACCAAATCCGGTTAAATATAAACAACCTTTTAGTTTAAATCCAACAAAATAATAAATATATCGCATTTTCTTAAAGTTATGTGAATATTTTTCAAAAACCCAATTGTATATGAATGTTGTTTTCGGAACAGAGCATATGTTGCCTATTATTCCTTTAACAATATGGTCCACAATGGTATAAATAACTGTTATACATACAGTGTTGTATTGCGAAGCATGCGTAGTTTATTTGTTGTGACAATCTAATGACAACCTGTTGATATGTTTGTAGGTTATCACATGACTAAATAAGTGGGTTAAAGACGACTACGATAGCTCACTACGCTTGTAGAAACTTTCTAAAGTAAGATAATAACCATCTATGATAAATCACAATTCAATAGTTAATAAAGGACAATTTCTGTAAGAACAATATTTGGTAGACAATACAGTAACTATATAAATTTTTAAAGGGATATTTTTATTTAAATAATAAAGAATATAGCATTTGAAAACAATTACTAATAGATTAATTTTAGCTTTAAATTTCATAATACTTTTTAAACTTCCATTACGATTGAATATGGAGAATATAGAGGAAATTCCACAAAAGTATTTGTTGATTTGATTCAAACTGTCGTAATATTGTTGTCAAACCTAAATCAAGTAAACTCCGATCATACAAATCAGTAATCACCTCCCTATAGCGCAATCCATTCTGTTGACCCAAACTTATTTTCGTAAAAGTAATGTCCAATGGACCCGATGGACCTCACCAAACATTCACACGTTCAATAATAATTGTTGGGTTTTTCAAAGCCTAGTCGCTTTCTACCGAAGTGAAAATAGAGGACACCAGTCAATATGATTTTTCGATGAAATTTCGCATAATTTTTATACATATTAAGATTGGCGAACATTGAGTGTTTCAACATTTTTGTGGTCTTTTTTAATAATTAAAATTCCCTACCACTTTTTTATAGTGGTAAGTAGACTATTTTTTTTATTCCGTAAAGTCCGAGAATTTCAAAAGAACCAACCGGACTGTACGGAAGATGGTAGCAACAACTGTAAGGCTCCTAATCCTGCAGAGACGAGGTCTGCTACGCAGTAATATATGGGAATAATGTGTCCGGTAAATAGAACAAGGAGACACACAAAGAGATTTGAATACGGTCAACAATAATATCTTGGATGTCCTTCTCCAAGGAAGGAACCTATAAATCAGCCAAGCTCCAAGTGTAAGGGGAAATATTAATACATATAATACAGTCTATTTCGTCAACTAGTATAGAAGCCATAGAAGCTTGTGAGAGAACAGGACATCCCTCAACGAAAAAATACAATTAAATCGGTGAGAGAATGTGGCAGTAAATTCACAAGAGAAAACACACTCAAAGTCTTTCACGGAGAGGAGAACGAAAAAGGCTTAGACAAATGATTCCATAACAAGTCTGTACAAGATCAAGGGTAAGGCATGATGTTGTTTCAGGCCACTAATCCGAAGGAAAGATCAAGTAGAAGACATCTCGGAAAATGGTCTTTCAAATTGAATGAGATGCGCCCCAGAACGACGCGCTTGGAAAACTTTTTTAGCACGGCATAATTTTGTAAACCGCAAGGCACACGAACTACAAATTTTAGCAAGTTTTGTTACTGTTTTTTCTAAAATCTTCACCATGAGGATGACAATCAGAATGCCTAAAAAATGGCTATTTTTGATAGTGAGATTTGACAGACACTGAGAATACAAAATACCAAATTACATACAAATTCGATTGAAAAATATGTCCAAAATTCTGTAAATACTGACTTGGGTGAATAATAATAATTTTTATTGCAGCGATGTGGTGATACCGTTATGAGAACCCAAAATACCGAATTACAGCCAATTCGGTGGAAAAACGTGTCCAAAATCCATAGAATACCGAATATTGGGAAGGAACCCTTATAGCCTAAAACTTTGGACAATATTATTTTTTTTTTTTTTTTTTTGTTCGTATATTCAATGTTCGTGTTATTCAATGAGATTCCAAAGTGGCAAATTACAGTCAATTCGGTTAGAAAACGTGTCCAAAATACCGAATGTTGGGGAGTACCATTATATGAAGGTCTACACCAAAAACGTGGACCGAAATATATGCCATTTGCAATACCAAACATCCTAGGAGTATTAGCAATGCCTGGGCAACATTTTAGAGCTCTATCTTAAATAGTGCGATCTCTATCGTGATTTCAACAGACAGACAGTCTGTGAATATTTCGATCTGTTGCAAACGAAATGACAAATTTAATATACACTCCACCTTATGGGGGAGGGTATAATAAAAATTAAATTAAATTTAGAAAATTAAATTTTAATTCAATGACATTGCATCTATTAATTTTTGTACAATGACACATTTTCATGTTCTCTTTTCCTATTTTTTTCGAAAATAACATTTCACAAACTATCTCTTACTGTACTACCACACTAACAGTATATTATTGCACATTAAAATTGTTAGGCTCTCATCATTGATAGACCATTTTCTTCGAGTGTATTAAGAACAAATGTAGCAACAACGTAAATGCATGAACTTAATAATCAACTACAACAACACGTTGCGCAGGTCTGAGCAATGTTGATAAGGTAAAGAATATACAACAAATGAACCATAACAGAGAGCGGCATAGAGAGAGCATCTACAAAAGTAAGAGATTATCTCGGTGACAAACAACACCAACCAACATCAATCAGTTGAAAAATATTTTGCAATTGTGTCACATCGTCGCTACAAATTGTCTCTCAGCCGACGAAAGAGAATACAAAATAAATTATAAAACAATATACTAATTAATATGCATTCATTATAAAAATAGCAACAAAACGAAATAGATAAATAAAACAAATGATTCAAAAATAATTCCGAAGTGAAACAAATAACTTTTCTTAAGATAACAAATCGATAAGTTAAGGTTAAATTACTCAGTTAGTGTTAAGTAATAAAAATAAAAATAAGCAATCGTGTAATAAAGAAGAACCCAAACGTCAAAACCAAAGCAATAATAACAACAACAACACCTAAATAACCCAAACAGTAGCAATAATAATAATGGGTAATAAATCGTCAAGCAATATAAGTTCATCATATCCCCAGCATGATGACCCGGCTTATCGTAAATGTCAGGAATTAAAGGTGGGTTTGCTTTTTCTTTTCATATGTCAATGTTTTCTTTTGAGTGACTGGCCAATGTCCTCATATCCTTCAGATGGAACGTTGGATACAAATGCACTATCAAATCAAGGAGCGTGAAGAGGCTATACAAATCGCCCGTAATCGTGAATTGTTCTATTGGATCAGTGGTTTCTATTTGACTTCCATGTTTGGCTGTATTTCGGTGTACCAACGCACCCGTCGTCCAATTTCATTACTGCCCATGGTGCCACTCTCCTTTGTTATGGGCTATTACGCCGATTTGGCTTACGGCAGTAAAATACATCGTATAAAAGGTAATTATAGAATTGGATAACAATAACAGCAGCAACAAAATGTAGCAAAAACAAAACACCGGACTACTCCACCGTTCCATATAACAAAAACAAAATCATTTTTTTATATTTTATTTGGCATTACTTTCTTTTTCACATTTATTTTTTTATTGTTTTTCTTTGTTGTTGTTATTGTTTGTTTGTTTAAGTTGAAGTTGAAGGCCATTGATATGTATGAAAAAATAAATGTGAATTCTTTTGGCTTTATTCTCACCGAATGCGGTTGAGGGTAAATATAAGCTAAATGAAATACATTGACTGACTCACTAAGATGCTAAATTTACTATTCGAAGTCCATATTCAGTGGCATGAGTTCGATATTACCTAAATATTAATAACTTCTGATCTATGACTGGGAAAACTATTTTTTAGTAAAAATGATTTATTTATCATAGGGTTAAACGGTATTTACATCAGAGATGGCCTGTCAGTAACTGTGACGTAAATGACATACATTTCCGACGTATAATACTTACGTCAGAAACGTCAGAAACCTACCTAAATCCATTAGGTTTTTGACAAAATAGCTATTTCCATTAATCAATTTGGAAAATACGCTTGTATTAAAATGATTTATTTATCATAGGGTTAAACGGTATTTACATCAGAGATGGCCTGTCAGTAACAGTGACGTAAATGACATACATTTCCGACGTATAATACTTACGTCAGAAACGTCGGAAACCTACCTAAATCCATTAGGTTTTTGACAAAATAGCTATTTCCATTAATCAATTTGGAAAATACGCTTGTATTACTCAAATTAATATAAAACTTAAAATTTTTCTTCTCAAAAAAAATTTAGAAATTTTTATCAGTTCTAGTAAGGAATAGTCAGATATATGTAAAAATAATATATGTATATTCTTGAAAACAACTGTGTATGCTGATAATATTGAAATAAATGACTTTTACTACATTTATTACGTTTTATACAGGTATATGACGTTTTCGACGTTTACACCTTTTTGACAGTCGAAAAAATTCGTCATACGGACCATCCCTGATTTACATTATAATTTTTTATCGGGTTAACCTACTTTATGAGTGAAAATACTAAAATGGATTTTCCGCAAAAGCTGGGATGGTTAAATGCTGGCGAAATGAGTAAAGAATATTCTTGTAGACATGAATAATTTCTCCTCGGAATGGATATGGAAAAAACCAAAGAAATAACAAGTGAAAAAGCGTTAAGTTCGGCCGGGCCGAACTTTGGATACCCTCCACCATAGTTATACTGACTGATACATGCAATGAAAATATAGGGAACATACCAAAAAGTTGGCATATACCAATAATTCTACAAACCGATTTATGTAAACCATTATGTACACCAAATACAAACTTCAGCAATTTTTAATGGGGATTTTTCCTAAATCTGTAAGATGCAAAAAGTGGACAGATACTGATAACGCATGGTAGGGTATAATAGGAAATAGTGAATATTTGGGGATATCATTATATGAGGGCTATGCCTAATTAATGACGGGTATATGCCAATTTTGAACCAAATATTGTAATTGTTTTTCTCAATTTTTCCTTCAGGAGGTATCATTATATTGAGGAGATGCCTAAATGTCTGCCGATATATTTCATTATAGTCATGTTTGATTTTTTTTATAACAATATCTTTAGAAGGCGGAATGCTTACAACAGATGGCTAAATAGTCCCCCCAACACACGAAATAAATCAGATAACTATTTTTATATAAAAAAGGGGGTTATATGGGGACTACCCCTAAAAAGGGTTGAATATTAATAATTTTTGGTGGGGAGATTTGTATCCATATGCGACTACAAAATACCAAATTTCAGCGAATTCGGTTGAAAACGCGTTCAAGAACCTCAAAATATTGAAAATTGGGGGGTACCTTATATGGGGGCTACCCGAAGAAATTGACCTATATTTATAATTTTTTGTGGAGAGATTTGCTACATAATAAGAACTCAAACTACTACATTACAGCCAATTCGGTGAAAAAATCCGGTCAAAACCCCCCAAAAACGGGAAATTGGGAGGTACCCTTATATGGGGGCTACCAGAAAAAGTGGACCGATATTTATAATTTTTAGTGGGGAAATTTGGTACCCAATAAGAACCCAATGTACCAAATTTCAGCGAATTCGGTTGAAAACCGCACTCAAGAACCCGAAAATTGGGGGGTACCCGAAAAAATTGACCCATATTTGTAATTTTTAGTATAGAGATTTGCTACCCAATAAGAACTCAAAGTACCGAATTTCAGCGAATTCGGTAGAAAATTGCGATCAAACCCCCCAAAATACCGTAAAATTGGGGGTACCTTTATATGGGGGCTATCCGAAAATATGGACCCTATTTATAATTTTCAGTGGAGCGATTTGCTACCCAATAAGAATCCAATATAGCAAATTCCAGCGCATTCGGTTGAAAAACGCGCTCAAGAACCCCAAAATACCGAAAATTGGGGGGTACCCTTATATGGGAGCTATGCCTAAACGTGGACCGATAAAGCCCATCTTCGAACTTGACCTGCCTGCAGACAAAAGACTCTATGCAAAATTTTGGCGATCTATCTCAATTCGTTTAGACGCTAGAGTGATTACAACAGACAGACGGACAGAATATATATATATATATATATACTTTATAGGGATCAAGAATATATATATTTCAATGAGTTACAAATGATTATTTCAATTAATATACCCTCCATACTATAAAAACAAGGGGTTTTAGAATAGGAATTTTCCAAATGGTGGAATTTTATTTATCGAAAATTCGGTGAAGAATTTTAAAACGAATCTGACCAAGAACAGTGGTGTTTGCTGGTTAGTACAGAAGTAACTTATTTACAAAAAGGAAAAAAAGAACAACCATTGTAAAAGGAAAACATTTGCATTTAGTTCCAAGATAGAGATGCAAATTTAGACAAATGAAAGAAAAATAAAAAATAGGGTGACCAGAGTGGTTAACCTTGACGTAAACAATGAGAATTAATTTGATATGTATAGAATGGAATTGACAATTTAAAACAGTGTTGCTCAGCCCTTTACGTTTTCGTAAAAAAACAAACCACGCATATTCTCTCTCATTTTAGATCTGCCGTTTGTCTAGCATACAAATACCAATGCAATTAATATGTGCATCACTGATTTAAACCACTCATGCACAAAATAGTAGTTTTAATCTTCAGTAATTATGATGATTTTTATGATTAACTCTCAGTAACTCTCTCATACACTTACTTTTGATTAAGTTATGTTCAACACAGATTTAAACCCTCTTTACGAAATCCGGTAAAATGTAAACGTACTATTACCTTCTAATTATCGGCCTTTTATGTATTTGCGCATGGTATAATAAGTCCTGATTTATATTAGGCGAGTTTACTTGCCGCAATTCTTATCGTTCTCTTTTGAACTTGCTTCATGCGTCTATACAAGGCAATTCTGAATTGAATATTTTTTTCTGAAATGACACTACAAACAAAATACACAAAACGAATTGCCAGAAAATTGTCGGTACGAGCAATTTTTTTCCATTTCTATTCCCCTTTGCCCCTCTCTCCGGCAAACAAAGACTTGCCGCAAGTAAACTCGCCTAATCTAAATTAAGACTAATAGAAGGTAACAGCAAGTGTTGTTGAACAAAAAACAATACAACAACCACATGGAAATTTGTTGTTGTAAGTTTTACTAGTGTCAACTCATTTGACAGAAAAATGTAAACAAACAAACAAATTATCATCAAATTATTTTTATTTTGAAAATGAAATATTTTCGAATCCTCAAAATAAAAATTGAAAAACATGAATGAAAATCTATCAAATTTATATTTCTATCGCTTCCACATCTTTCCTATAATTGAGCCATTGCCATATATATGCGTAACACATATGAAAATGCAGGGAATAGCGAGATTTGCTTCCTCAAACTTTCCCAGCAGGCAGATTGAGTAAGTTGAATACGGGAGCAGTATAGTCGGACGGGGCCGACCATATGATACTCTACACAACTTCCACGAAAAACTAACTTTCTGTGGATCTATATTCTGAGCTTGGGCAATATTTCGCGATTTTTTAACCATCTTGACCAACTAGAGGCCGACAATTATTACTAATGTTCAGTACAGCCCTTTTACTTGGCCAGATTCCCTTCCCTTGTGTTGTGATCTTCTTATTCCCATTGGAGCCTATAAAAAAACACAAAAAATTAAGTGTTCGGTCCACTTCATCACAATATAATTATCTGATCGTCAAAAAAAAATTATAAGCGTTATCCTTGACCATAACTGGAACTTCATGGAACATTTTAAAGCGATCAGCGCTATATTTCCGCCCTCTAGTGTGGTAAAAGGGTTACTAAATAATATCTAAATACATAAGCACCTTTAAATATTTAAGTGTAACTCCCACATCTGAGTACATACCACCATATATTTGGTATCAATTTAAAGGTCAAACACTGCCCTTGGATGTACTAACAACTTTTCGGATCTATGTCCTTCAGGGGTAAATCTATACGCTATAGAATACAAATTTTGTAATTTTTCACACGAAAGTCAGGGTCCATTTGAACCGCTAAATATTGACCGATCCTTATCAAAACAGACATGCTTATTCTTTGTCCCAATCCCCTTCTCAATGTAAAAATTCGCGATGTTTGGGTCATAATTGCGGCCTCTACAGCGACCAGAAAAACCGATAAAAATTAAGTATTTGGTCCATTTCATCCCCTAGATATTAACCGATCTTTACCAAAAACAATACGGGTCCTCATTGGCCAAAACAGACATGCTTATTCTTTGTCCCAATCCCCTTCTCAATGTAAAAATTCGCGATGTTTGGGTCATAATTGCGGCCTCTAGAGCGACCAGAAAAACCGATAAAAATTAAGTATTTGGTCCATTTCATCCCCTAGATATTAACCGATCTTTACCAAAAACAATACGGGTCCTCATTGGCCAGAACCCATCCTAC